GCAGTGCCAGAATAAAACACTTTTGCCTGCCCTATTTCTACTTGGATGAGGCAAACGAAGCTAAAGTAAAGAATGAGAATGTTCCCCAATGCCTGTGTGCTATGCATCTGCCTTCAACCTGACTCCAAGATAGGAAGCTCACAGCAATGGTTTGGAATTAAGCACTCCCTATATCAGACTCCATAATCCAGTACTTGAGTCATGTAGCTCCGCAGTCTTTCAAGAATACTGTTAATGATTTCCAGCCACTCTTCTCTTATGAATAGGGTTTACAGAGATAAACCTGTCAATGGAAATCAGAGGGGGGTGGGGGGGTTGGTTTGGCTTCTTACTCAGCAAGAAACAGTCCCTTGGTACTACAGCACTTGAATATTGCAGGATAGACAGGCATGTTTTCCATTTTGCACTCATCAGGACAAATGCAAGAATGCCATATTTCAAACAACCACAACAATTTATACCACAGAGAAAACAGAGGTTTTTGGTTGGCAAATCAGCTCTGGTTGTCCATCTACTGGTAAATGCAAATAGGGCTGCGCTTGCTGAAGTATCATGAATGCTCGAATAGCTACAATAATAACTAATTTGAAATTATCAGTTGAGCTCATAATGTTTGCATTTATGTTTAGTAGAAGGGACATAGGCCCTGTTCTCTTCAAAATAAAAGGAATCTGTTCAAGCTTGCACCTTTTTGGAATTACCTGGGAACTTGGCATCACCTCAACCAACCCTTCTCCCACAGTATAAATTGTGACTGTGTGAAATTTGCTATTCTTGCATTTGCCCTGATGAGTACAAGATGAAAAGTTTCAGCACAATGTCGTTCTATTCAATAATCAGCTGAAATGTTTTGTCACATTCTCACCTTTATCAGTGGTATGTGTGCTGCCAAGAAGCAGAGTGGTGAGAGTCAGAAAATAATACAGGCTCCCTGACCGGATGGACAAGGGGTGACATATCACACTATTATTAAGGCCAGACATTATGCAATAAGTATAGTGACAGCTCTCAGCTACAAACCAAGTAACTGGCCCTAAAGCACAAAAGTTAAGTCTACACTTGAAGCTGGATTCAGAATCATTTGAATTTGAAATCCAGTAGATTACTTTAAAGCATGGGAGCATGCCATTGGGCCCATCTAGTCCCTCTTTAGTTCATACACCAAGCAGTGTAATAGTTGGAATATCTGCTGACACTATAGTTGCAGAAGGATCAAAACTGCCAACATTGTAATTTCTGGATCTTGAACGAATCTGCAGCTGAAGCATCACCCTGGAGTTCGTCTGGAATTTCACACCCAATGCCCTACGTGACCAGCTTAGTGTTGGTGGGTAGTGGTGGTGTGTCCATTACCTGGCACTTTCCCTGGCCATGAACACGACCTGCAGCAAAGGGGATATAGTGGTGGAGTGGTAATGTCACTGGGCGAGCAATCTGGACCCCAACGGTAATGTTCTCGGGACATGAGTTTGAATCCCATCATGGCAGATGATGAGTTGAATTCAATAAAATCTGAAATAATAAGCTGGCCTAATGGCAGCGTGTAAACGTTACTGATTATTATAAAAACTCATCCGGTTCAATGATGCCCTTTAGGTCATCCTTACCTGGTCTGGCTGACATGTGACTCCAGACCTTCAGCACTGTGGCTGATTCTTAATACCCCTCTAGACAATTTAAGATGGATAATAATGCTAACCTAGCCAGGGACACCCACATCCCATTAATGAATAAATTAAAAAAAGACCCTCTCCTGCCCTGACCAGCCCTTGCTGGAATCTACCTAATCAACCCAGGAAGATCTAAGCCTCCTGGCTGCAAAGGGCAGCATCCCGTCAGCTGGGTACATTTGCAGCAATGGCCAGCTCTACTGGTGGCACTGCTGGAACTGAAGAATTGCTGCACCTCCCATTGGCTGGCAATTTCTTTGGGGCGAGGGGGGAGTAGTGAGGGTGGGATCACAGTCCTTTAAAATACCAAACAGATTCCAGAAAGGCCTAAAATGCAGCTGAAGGGCCTCCCAAAGAGCCAAGAAATGTTTCTACCAGACATTCCAGCTGACATTTGTGTCCTCACCTCCCCCTGTTCCTTGACAAGTACAGTCCATTAACTTTGCTTCTCCTTCCGTGATGATGCCTGCGCTGCTGACCATTTCCAGCCTTTACTGTTTACATATTACTCACGTATACACAAGTGGATTTACTTTACAATATTTCTGCAAATCTAAGTCAAACACATTTTTCCGACAGACTTTCTATGAATTAATAACATAATTATCATGACCATTAAAATCATTCCAAATACATGTGGATTTTTTTGCACTTGTTTTCTTGAACAGCTTTTTACTCCAATCTACAAATATTTTCCACAATTCATTAAAAATAGAGACATCAATAATTTACACCATCATTCTATGTATTGCACTGTAAGAGGTTCTTTTAAAAAAAGACAATGTATAAAATACAAAGTGGATTTGCCTTCATTTGAATTGACAATTTGAATGTAAATCTTTGGGTTATCTGTGAGGTGGAAACTTGTCTCAATGTTTATATTAACTATATTAAATAAAACACAGTAAAAGGGCCACAGTAAAATATGCCCTGCTGAATGGGTCTTTTAATGTTATAAAGTGTTTTCCACTAATACCGTCTTTACAATGCGTTTTTCTTGCATTTTTTAAGATCTGGAATGCAGTCTCCCTGCTGGAACTAGCCTATCCCTTTGAAGTAACTGATCAAATACTTTCTGTGAGAACCTGGGCATAACTGCATGTTTCTTGAAACTTCAGAAGCCCATTAGAGGTTAGCAACTACTGGCAGATCAGAAAGAGCTCGAATGAAATAAATGCCTGGCATTCTTTCTGATTTACGCCATTCTTTTATATCTGTGGTGCCTCACGTTGGGCTTGAGAAAGAATGAAACAGAATTTACATCAAGCCCCTGAATTCTCAAAGTATCCAGAAGAATATCACAGCCAATTAAATACTTTGAAGAATAGTCACTGTCATCTTATAGCAAATGTAGGAGCCATTTGCTTGCAACTAGATCCAAAAAAAGTGATTAAACGATTCAAATTATTAATCTACCCTCAAATAGCACGGTGAGTTTTAAGAGGTCATGATAACAAAATTCCTTGGGGAAATTCCCTCCCTCAATCCATGTAATTTCAGCTGATAGGCTAGTCAAATATAAGGCTCCTGTCAAGCTTTCATCAAAGTTATACTGGCCAGTCAGAGCCTCCACAAAAATTTAAGGCACTTAGCTCAACGCCAGCAAATTGACAAAAAAGGGTTTTTTTTACAGAGAACCTGTTGAAGTACACAAAAATAACAACTAATTTAGCGACATACAGCAAAAGAGGCCACTGTCCCTCTTTCAAGGAACTATCCATTAGTCCCACTGTGCTGCTCTTTCTCTATAGTCCTGCAAAATATCTCCCCTTCTAGGATTTCCCTAATTTCTTTTTGAAAGTTACTGTTCGATGTGCTAACACCACCCTTTCAGCCAGCGCATTCCAGAATAAGACAGCTTACAGCTGAAAGGAGTGCTTTTATCATTTATCCTCTGAATCTTTCACCACCATTCCATCCCGCCAAGAAAATCCTGAGTCATACTTTAAAATAAAATGGATCATAAGCCAGAAATCATAAATTAATTAGAAATAACTTCAGCACAAGAGCAGAGATGCAGGTGTTCAAAGTGTTCTAAGTTGTTGGAAGTTATCACAAAAGATGGGCATGAATGGCTTTTTCTCATCATATTGAGGAGCTGGGTAGGAGGAACCTGTTATAAAACTCTACCTAACCATCCAGGGTCAGATGGTGATGTAGTGGAGATAGTAGTTATTCAGAGGTCCTAGCTATTGCTATTTCTCTGGGAACGTAAGTTCAAATTCCACTAATGACACCTAGTAGAAATTAGCTTGAATTAATAAACCTGGAGTTGAAAACTAGTCTCACTAATCATGGCCATGTAACTATCTTTGATTGTCATAGAAATCACATCTTGAGTCTATGCCTTCTGGAACAACAGCAATATGATTGACTCTTAACTGCCCTCTCAAATGGCTATTCAGTTCAAGGGCAAATAGGGATAGGCAAAAGGTGCCCATATCCCATGAAAGAATGAAGAAAAAAAGTGACAAATGAAGACTACTGCCCATGGGCCAGTGTCCATACTGCTATTGTCACTGGAATGAAACATCGGGATGTTTCCTATTGAGGAACTCCATAGGAACAGACTTACAGGCAGCACTTAATGTTCTCCCAAGAGTGAAATATCACACCACAGCTCATATTCAAACAGCAGAAGGTAGGAAACATGCCATGTAGGCAAACAGTCACCCTCGCAGGCATTCCTGTGGTCTGGCTGGGACTTATCCCTTTTGCCAGCAGCAAGAAAGATGTTCCCCTATTATTTACATCAACCCCCTCACGTCCCCTCCCCTTAACTCCATCGCTGAGGACTCCCCGACTGGTCCCATCACCTACCTCTGCTTTAAAGCTCCGGGGTGACCCTCCTCATCCACACGATTACTCCAGTACTGACAATGGTTGATCAGCACTTCCTGAGCTCAGGACACCCACCCCATTCCAGCAGCTGCAGCAGCAAATAGCCTCTGATGTAGTCAGGAACCTTAACAGCAGCCAGCAGACTACCTGGGCTGCATTTTCTCACAGAAACCTATAAAATCCTAACAGGACTGGACAGGGTAAGCAGGAAGGCTGCTCCTGATGACCAGGGAGTCCAGAACCACAGCTCAAGGATATGGGGATAAGTCATTCAGGACTAAGATGAGGAGAAATTTCTTCACCTAAAGAGTGGTGAGCCTGTAGAATTCTCTACCACAGAAAATGATTCAGGGTTGAGGGTTAGGTGAATTGGCCATGCTAAATTGCCCCAAAGGTTCTAGAAGTGTGCAGGTTAGGTGGATTATCATAGTAAGGCGGGGCAAGGGGAGGTTACAGGGATAGGGCAGGGGGGTTGTGGATCTGGAGGGGACGGGTGCTCTTCAGAGGGTCAACGCAAACTCGATGGACGATGGCCTCTTTCAGCACTGAAGGGGTTCTATGATTCTAAAACAGTGAATGTTTTCCAGAAGAAGTTACATGTAGTTCTTAGGTCAAAAGGAATCAATGATTATGGGGAGAAAGTGGGAACAGGGGCTACTGAAATGGATGATTGGCCATGACCATATTAAATGACACAGCAGGCTCAAAGTCCAAATGGCTTACTCCTGCTCTTCTTTTCTATGTTTAACGATGATGACAGAGTTCTTGCCCTCAGGACGGAGAGCTTGGGGGAGCTGTAAATCATCTTTTTTGGGGAGGTCCACCAAATTAAGTGCCACACAGGCATCCAAGTGGACAACAATGGGCCTTCCTTGGAGCAAGGGTGCTTACCCACCAAGACGTGCCAGAAGGACACCACCTGAGGCCCATTATTGTGGCTGGGCTCCATGCCATAGGTGGGAGGAGTTTGCGACGGAGTGGGAGCCAGAAACAATGCAAAGTATTGGCTCTCAGGGTACCTCACTCCCACCCTCCCTTCCTGATGCTGGGTCATTTGATCGGATGCTGAATGTTTTTGTACCATGTCAGACACACAAGTTCAATAGTGGAACTGGCCTGGGTTTGCTGGTTGTGCTACCCATGAAACCAGCAGCCCCCTCACCTCACTAACCGTTAGTTTAACCTGAAGTATCAGGAGGGGACCCTTCAGAGGAAAGTAACCACTCATTGATCAGCATCGAATCCCAGTGGGGCTTACAGAAGTGGCTACAGTGGGGTCATCACCATCACTCTAGCTGGTGGACAGCCCATTGCTGTGACCTGTAACTCTCTGCCATATTTTAATGGCCATAATGAATCATGGGGCCACTGGAGGGAAAGATCAACAGAAATATAGAAGGTGAGAAAATGGCTGACAGATTTAATGGACTGGATGCAGTTGATCCATTTGGAATGTGTAAGGGCAGCGTAGGTTGTGCAAATCCATGACAATCAACCTCAAGAGAAGAGGATGAAAGCACAAATGAATGAACTCCTGTCTGTCTATCTATCATTTATCAATCTATATTAGCATTCATTTATTTCCAGTTATGCCGTCATCCTTAGCAAGGATATATCATCAGAACATATTCAAAAGAAAAGGCATTGGCCAGACTTACTTAACTGCATTCATTCAAAATGATCTCAAAGAAATTTTGTTAACCCATCAATTTGACTGTTAAGTGTAAACAGGTTGCTACAGAAAAAATGCCAACACTTCATTTCTTTACTTTTAGCAACTACACTTAAATTCTAGAATTGATGACATTAATCCAGCATCATTGCCCCATACCTCTCCAAATTGTCAATTTTAATGTGAGTAAGTTTTTGTTCCACATTCCCCAACTAACGCAAGAGGTACGGAGTTGGGGATAACTAAATTGTGCACATTAATTATTTTGTTTTTAGCAATAAATTACTGTCTTGAATCACAATTTTCCAAATATTACTTCAGACCAACATTTCTGTGACCCTTCTTAAGGAAAATACATGACTAACATTCAGACAAATGTAGCCTTATGCTGTGCCTCTAATGTCTTACTCCTGTCACTCTTCACTGTTATCAGCGATGGCAACTCCGACATCCGATAAACTCCAGTGCGCATTCTCCCTTGGCAACTTTTCAGTTCAGAAATGTAGCCTTCAAAACTCAGGTTCCCATCTGACTCGTCAGTTTCCGTCCTGGTGTCTTCTGATTTCACTCCATCGATGTCAATAATCTTGTTTATAGGAAGTGTTACATGGGAGTGGTTGGCATCAGCAGCCACAGCAGTCCTGTTTACACTTGTTTGAGTGTTCGGATTCTGTCCAAAGTAAGCAGGCTTCTTCCAAGCAACTTTTCCCCTTTCATTCATCGAATCTTTAGAGGAGTAAGAAAAACAGGCGCATTAAGATAACGACAAACACAGGGTTTAAATATCATTGCACTGGCTTTTACCCATCAAATGTGCACTTTCAATGAAGACATGAAATGTATAGCTCTTGTTCATTATTAACAAGTTGCAACATATCAGAAACATTTAAATAGAACATAGAACAGTACAGCACAGTACAGGCCCTTCGGCCCACGATGTTGTGCCGACCTATTATCCTACTAAGATCAAACTACCCTGAATACCCTACATTTTACTATCCTCCATGTGCCTATCTAAGAGTCACTTAAAAGTCTCTAAAGTATCTAACTCCACTGCCACTGCCAGCAGAGCATTCCACATGCCCACCACTCTCTGTGTGAAGAACCTATCTCTGGCATCTCCCCTATACCTTCCTCCAATCACGATAAAATTATGCCCCGTCTTAATAGTCATTTCCGCCTTGGGAAAAAGCCTTTGACTATCCACTCTATCTATGCCTCTCATCATCTTGTACGCCTCTATCGAGTCACCTCTCATCCTTTGCTCCAATGAGAAAAGCCCTAGCTCCCTCAACCCTTCCTTATAAGACTTGCCCTCCAGTCCAGGCAGCATCCTGGTAAATCTCCTCTGCACCCTCTCTAAAGCTTTCACATCTTTCCTATAATGAGGTGACCAGAACTGAATATCATTCAACTGTGTTGAGAATTTCAAGCAATTGGTGCTCACAGTGAATACTCCCTGGAGCACTGGCGGCTGAGGGGTGACCTTATACAGGTTTATAAAACCATGAGGGGCATGGATAAGGTGAATAGCCAAGGTCCTTTTCCCAGGGCAGGGGAGTCCAAAACTAGAGGGCATAGGTTTAAGGTGAGAGGGAAAAGATTTAAAAAGAGCCTGAGGGGTAACTTTTTCATGCAGAGGGAGATGCATGTACAGAACGAACTGCCAGAGGAAGTGGTGGAGGCTGGTACAATTACAACATTTAAAAGGCATCTGGATATATGAATAGGACGGGTATGAGGGATATGGCAAATGGGACTAGGCCAAATTGGAATGTCTGGTCGGCATGGACAAGTTGGACTGAAGGGTCTGTTTCCATGCTGTATGACTCTATGACTCATATGAACTAGGAGCTCGAGCAGACCATTCAGCCTTATGAGTGTGTTCCACCATTCAGCAAGAATACAGCTGAGCTGATCGTGGCTTCAACTCCACAATCCCATCTACAACTCCCTTGTTAATCTGAAAACAGGCACCTTCAACTGTGTAGCATATTGGAAGTATCAGTTTCACTGGACTTTGGTGTCAGGGCTCCGACATTTTTGTTAGGGAGGAAATTCCAGGATTTTAACCCAGTGTCAGTGAACGGGGCAATATATATTTCCAAGTCAGGATGGTGAGAGCCTCAGTCACAGAGTCATTAAGTCATACAGCGTAGAAACAGGCCCTTTGGCCCACCACATCTACACTTACCAACAAACACCAAACTACACTAATTCTATTTACCTACACTTGATCCACAGCCTACTATGCCCAGCAACTACCTAGTGGTATTATCACTACACTGTTAATCAAGACCAGATAGTGTTCTGGAGACCAGGTGGTGGAATTTGAATTCAATAAAAAACATCTGGAATTAAGAGTGTAATGATGACCATGAATCAATTGTCAGGAAAAAACCCATCTGGTTCACTAATGCTCTTTAGGGAAGAGAACTGCCGTCTTTACATGATCTGGCCTATGTGTGACTCCAGAACCCCCTTCCCCTCCCCCATTTCTGATGAAGGGTCTAGGCCTGAAACGTCAGCCTTTCTGCTCCTATGATGCTGCTTGGCCTGCTGTGTTCATCCAGCTCTACACCTTGTTATCTCAGATTTTCCAGCATCTCTAATACAATTTTAACCCCACTGCAAAGACTCTTGTAAGGATGCCTACCCTGAAGAAGTTACCCTCATCCCTCCGGACAAACCTCAGGGGATCTCTCTCCCACTGCAACTCTCTCGTCCTCTCCACCTATCCTCTCCTCTATCCATCTTCTATCCGCCTCCCCCTCTCTCCCTATTTATTTCAGAACCTCCTACCCCTCCCCCATTTCTGATGAAGGGTCTAGGCCCGAAACGTTAGCCTTCCTGCTCCTATGATGCTGCTTGGCCTGCTGTGCTCATCCAGCTCTACACCTTGTTACCACAGCAATGTGGTTGACTCTTAACTGCCCTCTGGGCAATAAATGCTGCTCGGGCCGGTGACGCCCTCATCCCATGAATAAATAACTAAAAAAAATTAAGTGCTCATCCAAATGCTTTTTAAATATGGTTGCAGCACTCGCCTCCAATACCCTCTCAGGCGGCATGTTCCACAAACCTATCATCCTCTGGGCAAAAATTCTTTTTCTCACATTTCCTCTGAACCACTCGCTCCTCACTTTAATCTTATATCCTCTGGTCTTAGACTCATCTGCCATGGGGAAGAGATTCTCACGATCTACTCTATGTTTGTCTTTCATAAGTTTGTATGCCTCAATTATATCCCACCTCAGCCTCCTCTGCTCCAAGGAAAACAAACCCAGCTTATCCAGTTTCTCCTGAGACTAAGACTTTTCATCCCAGGCAACATCCTGGTGAATCTCCTCTGCACATTCTCCAGTGCAATCATGTCATTCCAATAGTGTGGTGACCAGAACTGCAGTGTTCCATCTGTGGCCTAACCAACATTTTATAAAGCTGTAACAAGACTTCCTTGGTCCTCATTTTTTTTGTCCCAGCTTCAGGGATCTATTGACTTCCAGACCAAGGTCCCTTTATTCTTCAATACTGCCTAGGGACCCACCATTCAATGTATGTATCCTCCCCGTATTAGACCTCCCAAAATGCATCTCCTTGCAGGGTATCAGGATTAAATTCCAGCCATTACTCTGCCCAATTTACTAGGTGATCTAAGACCAATCTCCTCACTATCAAAAACTCCCTTGATTTTCTTGTCATCTGCAAACTTGCTAGTTAAATCTTATACTTTCACATGCAAGTCATTGATATAAATAACAAACAGCGAGGGTCCCAGCACCAATCCCCATGGTACACCTCTGCTCATTGGCTGCAAAGAAACAACACTCCACCATCACCCTTTTGCCTCCTATTTGTAAGAAGAATTAAGCCAACTTGGAGGGAAAGTTGCAAATGGTGGCGTTCCCATGTATCTGTTATCTTTGTCCTTCCGGATGGAAGTGGTCATGGGTTTGGAAGACCAATATCAGGACTGAGAGGGTTGCCCTGTTGGGTAAGATCCAATTGGCTAGCCTTATATCCAGTGGAGTTTGGGACAGTAAGAGGTGACTTGAATGAAACATACAAGATCTTGAGGGGTCTTGGCACAGTAGGTATGGTAACAATGTTTCCTCAGATCCTGAGGCAACTTGGCACGGTAAGTATGGTGATGATGTTTCCTCTTATCAAAGCCTCTAAAAAAAGCAGTCTCTGATTAAAAAAAACAGGGATTGTTCATTTCACCTCCCAGAGCGTCATGAGTCTTTGGAGCTTACTAAATAGTGGTGGAAGCAGATCCTTAAATATTTTAAAGTCAGAGCTGGATAAATTCTTGTTAAGCAAGTCTTTTAAGTATTGTAACTTTACCTGCATCTATCACTTCATCTGGCAATTTATTCTGCCTACAAACCACCCTCTGTGTGAAAAAGTTGCCCCTCAGGCCCTTTTAAACCTTTCTCCTCTCACTTTAAAAATATGTCCCCTAGTTTTGAACTCCCCTACCCTAGGGAAAAGACCTTTTCTATTCACTTTATCTATACCCCTCATGATTTTATAAACCACCACAAGGTCACCCCTCAACCTCCAATGCCTCAGTGAAAAAAGTCCCAGCCTATCTAGCCTCTCCTTATAATTCAAACCCTCCAGTCCTGGTTACATTCTGGTAAATCTTTTCTGAACCCTCTCCAATTTAATAACATCCTTCCTATAGCAGGGCAATCAAAACTCTACACATAAAACCATCTAAACCATGTTTGTCTGAACAAGTATTACAAAAGATTAACTTAATATTCTTCTTACTTTCTAGCTGAAAGGACCTTAGTGCGTGCAAGTTAACTGCCATGTTTGGCTACGCACCACTTGAAACGTACGCTGTTTAGTATGAAGTCTTTGGGACATGAAAGGCAATATACAAGTTAAAATCTTTCTTTTGGGTCTTTGGTCATTCCTTCTTGTGATATAGCCAAATCAATACTGAATTAGCAAATAAACTCCCCAGCGACTAACACAAAATTGATTGAAGAAAGCAACAAGAATTCATGAATTACATTTGCATTGTGAGGCATGTGGTCTTCAGCATTATTAACTACAATCAGATATATATGCTAGACAAAATTTTATGTTTGATTAGTAAATTTTGTTTCAATGGCACTTGGTTTCTTGCCATCTGCCATGCTTACCAGTAATACAAAATTAAACCTGTTTTTCATTGCATGTTTTTCAAATTAAAATTGTAGAGGCTCCTTTTTCATATTCTGTAGCGTCAGCAGGCATATATACCACAGAGGGGTTTTGTCTGCCACTTGGCATGACATTATGAATTGCACAGCATAATGATATTAAGCTATCACAGTTCCAGAGGCATTGTGTACTCATTTGGCAAGAGCAACCTGGTTGTTTATGTTTTACAACACTTTACAGAGGTGTGCCTCATGAAACACTGCACACATCCTTGCCATGAACTGCCAACCAGGGATAGTCTTGTCCAATGGACTTTAATGTGCTTCAGTCTAATTAGCACCACACAGCTACATTTTACATTCTGACATCTCATATTCAATTTCTGAACATATCCCAGAGGGGATAGATGTGTACCTGGTACACAAAATTCTTCAATGGGTGTAAATTTGTGAAGTGTAATCTCATGGTCCCACATGAAATATATTGTTACTATTTTCTCCAATAAGACATTCTTTTAGATGCACATCAAATTAATAGGACCACTTGTGTAACTGATACTACTTCTC